TGAAATAATGTGAAGTTTGTGTGAAGTTTCTTGTCTCACCAGGTGCCTGTAACAAATAAGTTCATTTGCTTAATTATGTCAGAGTTAAAGAGAGACCTGGGAAGAAGTTAAGAAGAGCTCACATTTTATTATTTTTATCATTAACTCTTCATCTGGGTCTCACCATACCCAGCAGACACTGGGTGGGACAATTAGGAGAGGATTAAAAAAAGCAATGTGGAGATTTTTGGACCAAAAAAAGGCCTAAGTTTTTCTGCATAAACAGCGTCAGAAGATTCTTCCTTCTGAAGTGTGTACAGCATGCTTGTGTTACTTTCAGAAGCTTGTTATTGATGTCAAACCTTGGTCTCTTAGGTCACTTTCCTAACAGGAACTTTTATTTTATTTTGTTTCAGCATATCTGTGTGATCAGTGAGACGGGGAAGCAGAAATACAAAGCATGAAAGCAGAGTTCAAGTGACAACAGAGCTTTGAAATGTTTTGTTTACTGAGTCCTATCTTTCACAGGCTTCAGCTCTGGTACACCAGCTACACTTGTAGAATGCCCCAGCCCCATTGCCATGTGCTTACTGTAATTTATTGCATGTACAATATAAGAGCTCATCTTGTTCATTTGTATTTTAGAAATGTAAACACTTAGTGCAGTTCTGCACTCCTTATTTTGATTTGCACTACGACTCTACCGACTGTCGCTGCTGCCCCTGGTTGGGCTGTGCTGTTTGTGAGCTCGAGTCTTAATTCTTGCAGTGGTAAATTGCTTAAACCTCATCAACCCAGAACTGAAATAGTTCAAGTACTGTAAATGTAAAGCATTTTATGATAGGGAAGTCTATTAGTAATATTTTTTAAATCTGTAATTTAAGTTTTATATTTTAATGCACAGGTGTGATTGTGATTAATGGATAGTTGCACCTTTGGGTGGTAATAAAGCATGAGGAGCAGCCAGTTACAGTATCTGTAATCTCCAAGGGGCTTATCCAAATCTCCTGGAGTTGCCTTATTGCTGTAAAGGAAGTCTGGGTGAAAAGTGTGTTTTTTCTGTTTTCTTTTTTTAAAGATGGAATGACAAAACAGAATGTTTAAAATTAGTTTTAGTTGAGCTGCCTATTTCTGTTAGATTTTTTTTCTTTAAAAATATCCATCAGTTTGTGGAATTGCCTTTTAAATTTAAACAGTTTTAATATATTTGTGGGAAAAAAATAAGTATTGTAATGTTTACTTTATAAGATCTACAAAGCAAAGTACTTTAAATAAAGGCTGTCTCTTTAAAATAAGCCCCACACATCTATCCCACTCATTCTGTATATTAAAGTGTTCTTGAAATTTTGTTCTCAATAATATTTTTCATAAGTGCTTGTGACAGTGAAGGCAGACTCTGCATTTGTTACCTGTGTTGAGCTTCTGCTTCATGTAATCCTCTCTAAGAGAGAGATTATAAAAGTGCTGTGGGAAGATATTGAAACAACTGCATATTCTCCAACCAAACCAGATTCCAGAGAGAACAGTTGAAGTTCTTTGTTCTGTCTTGGCAAAAATGAAGAGTAGAGGTTCTGTGTTCATTAAACATACCCATGTGGGGAAAAAAGCACGAAAAACCACAACATTTTGTAAGTAATCATTTTGGTTTGTTTCATTAGCATTTCTGTTCCTGTGGAGTCCAGTTCCGAACACGGCAGCCCAGCTCACACCTGTGTCTGTTCTGTGCTTTTTGGTTCTTGTACTTCTCCATGTGGATTCTCCCACATCCTTGGATTTAATGCTGCTCAGTGCCTAATACACAGTGGAGTTATTGAAACTCTGTTCTGAAAGATTTTTCTCTGTTTTTGAAGTTTATGTCTGTACTTTTCCAAGAACTGCACACTACTGCCCTTCCACAGCCTGCTCAGTTACAGCTGACTTAATGATTAATAGCAGACCTAAAATATGAATTCACACAACGTAATTCACATCAAATGGCCACATTTCTGGGAGATCTATTTGTAAATCAGAATCTCTTTAACAAATATTAGAACACTGATCAAAATTATACTGTAGTTTATTTTTTCAAAGAACTTTTGTTCTAATGCACTATGAAGTCTGATTATATTTCTGGATTTGTCCTAAATCACCTTTGTATATCTGCCTGTTCAAGATCCTGTGACTTGTTGCAAAAATATGCAGTGCATCTCCAAGGAGAGGAAATACTCAGTCTCCTAAAAGGTTTTCCAGTCGTGGTTAAGACAATTACTCACATGATGTGATTTGGGAAAGAGAGGAGGGGTTGAGTTAGTCATAACAAGGGGTTTATCTTTCAAACTGTAGCTGGAGCAGGGAATTCCTGGTCTGTTGGGAGCAGGGGTTGGAATTGCATGGGCTGTGTGGTCAAAGGAGAGATTTGGGAAGATGCTGTTGAGCCACACTGGCCCCAGGAGTGATGCTGCAGCAGCACAGGTCTGCTTCTGCCACACCACCTGTGTCTAATGGAAAAGGTCTGTACTTAAAACCTCACTGAATATTCCCACATTTCAGGTGCTGTGGAACAGACACTTGAGGTTTTTTCACTTCACATAGGTGCTTGTCAGATCAAGTTCATCACCACAGAGAGATTCCTTATTCAAAAGCTTTTGTTGGTCTGAAAATTGTTTCGATGAAAGGTTACTCCTCCCTTGCCCTTCCTGGAATAGTTCTAGCTACTGCAGCCTTTCACAGCAGCTGTGTGTGCACAAAAGGAAGATAAATCCTCACTTGAAAAATGTTGAAATTGCAATTGTTACTTTTTGTTTGGTAATTTTGCTTAAAAGACTGGGGGTTTAGTCACATCTTTGCAAGTTAAACAAGAGCTTTATATGACCCAGACATACATTGTTAAAGCATTATGAAAGCACAGAGGAATATCTTGTATTTGAACATTTATATGCCATTTGAAATTCATTATAGTACCACATTTTATGAATCACAAATGTATGCTGGAAAAATAATTTCGAATATTTATAGACTTTGCTACACTGTCTCTCCCTGTGACATCTGGCATTTCTGTACATTTTGGTAGCTGAGACAGAAACGTGATGAAAAGTCTCTGTGAACTGAGCTGGCGCTTCACTTGGGGCTTTTTTTTTTTTTTGCAATCATGGTTTTGAAAATTGAATTAAATAAGGATCTTTGAGCTGCCTTGTAATTGGATATCCTGACTGATTAAATGGTGGTGTTTCATTGTCTATTATGCTGCAACAGTCCTGTCAAACACACACTAATCCAGCAGTGAGGAGCTGACAGTGCTTTACAGAGAGCTGGTTACGAGTCATTAAAGGACTGTCTGCCCTGCCCGACTGCCTTTTTATACCTGTGCAGGTTGCACCTTGCAAGATCAAATCTCCACTCTTGGCAAGCTGAGACATCACTGTGGTCTGGTTTTTCCTTTTTTTTTTTTTTTTTTTTTTTTTTTTTTTTTTCTTTTTTTTATTGTTACCGTATTTAATTACCCAAGCAGATGTAGTTTGTTGAATGTTCTGATGGGGAAAATACTTCCCAGTTCTGTAAAGGTGCCAGTACCCAGTAAGCTCATGGTACTGCAGGCAGCAGGGTGAAGAGGGTAGGGCTAGAAAAGCACAAAGATTCAGCACAGTCTAAGAACTGGCTGTGAGGATTTTCATCCCTAGATAAGCTGACAGAGGGATTGTGCTGGTCACTGCCAGCTGATAAAAGGCTGGTGCAGGGTGTGTGTTTGGGACACATTTTGAATGGCTGCAAATACCCTTCTGTGTGTGGGCTCTGCTCCAGTAAATACCAAGTGATGATTTGAAACTTCATCTTGGAAGGTGGAAATCCTTGTGGAACCAGGTCGGAGAAACAGGCCAGTGATGGTGAATAAATCAAGGTGCAGGAAGAGGCTGGTGTTTATCTAACAGTCATTATTAGTGGCATCTTTATTTTGTCCCTAGTGTAAGCAGAAAGGGAACCAACCCTCGTGTGTTTTCTGCGTATCTGCAGATGAACTGCAGCAAATGACAGTTCCTGTAAGATCCAGCTTTGGGCATTAGGGGTGCGTGAGGGGATTCCCAGACACTCTGTGCCTCTCACCGCTTGTGATTCCCCACGCCAGCCCTTCACAACCAGGAAAACACCCCAGTAAGATTCTGTCTGTATAAATAATGAATCGGCTATTTCCAGCTCCAGCCCCAGCTCTCGTAGGGTGGCTTCTTGGTGCCCGATTTACAACCCTGAAATCTCAGCAGCACCAGCGGGAATGCTACAGGATGGCTTTTTTGAAGAGACTTAGGTAAAACGTAATTCTCCCACGACATTTTGCTACCCGTGGCAGTGAAATAACCCAGTTTAGTTCTCTTGTTCCGGCCCAGCCACGGAAAGCCCGGTGTCTCCCCATGGATTCTGCCCATGGAGGGGAGGGGTGAGGATGGCGGTGGGGCTGCCCTGGAGCCCCGCATCCACAGGGAATTCCTCTGGGCCAGCGGGGCTGTCCCGCAGCAAATCCTTCTCCCGGGGAGGGAACATGGCCTGGAACATGTCCTTCCTGCGCATCCGGCAAGTGCCAGAGCAGCGATGCTGCTGCTTCGCTCGCCTGTTTCCCATCTGAGGAACTGGGACGTGACTAAGCCAACCCTAAGGCAGGGAGGAGCAGGGAAATGGGGTGGGGGTGTGCGTGAGAGAGAGAGCTTCTAAATGTTTATTGATGTGCCTTTAGGAGAGCTTTCCTCCCATTTCTTTTCATGACAAATATTTCTCCTCCATTCACAAAATGCAAAATACCCTGTAGCAATCAGAGAATGCAAAACACGGGGTAGAATTATCTTCTCTGGCGTAAACGCCTTAACTTGAAACTAGAAAACCACCCTGTGCTTTCTAGTATAGCATAAGCACAACTCCCTTCTTGCCAAGCTGCGTCTTCCATACCTCCAGTCCCCTCCTGGCCAGCACTTTACCTGGCAGTCCTGCACACTAAAATAATCTCTTTTCAGTATGAGGGGGAAGCTATTTTCTCACACACACTATATGGTATGAGAACTCATCCTAGACACTTTATAAATGAATGTATGCTCTGCTTGAATCACAGTTTGAGTAACCATCAGTAGGCTGAACAGCCACAAGGATGGGTTTACAAGAGAAATTGTGCAGAGCAATGTCTTACACTTTGCTTCAGAAAATAAAATACTTCGTGTTTTTCTTCCATTTGGTGAATTTGTTGCCTGGAACCATTGTGTCATCAGGATGTCAGAGCCATCGTTTGCACTGGTCATCATTGTGACTTTAGCAAACCCTCACGGGAGAGGTGAGCTGGCTTCTGTTTTGCCATGTGGCTGATACCTGCCACATCTAATTTCAGCCAGGATTTTTCCTTTGTGCTTGGGGCAGCTGCACAGCTGGGTACCCAGCCAGGGTCTCCTACCCTGCAAAGAGAGAGTGAGACACATGAAAGGTTTCTGTGGTGCAAAGAGCAAGACCTGAAGTCATTAAGAGCAGGCACTGGGAGTTGCTGTTGTGCAAGGCACTGCAGGAACACCTGCCAAAGCCAGTCCCAGCTCTGAACATGCTGGATGTGAGCTGAGGAAAAGCAAATGAGGTGGGTGGGCAAGAAGTGCAAGAAAAGCAAGACAGCTCTGGATACCACAATGAGCCGCCAACCTTTGCCAAAAATTCCTTCTGCATCAAAGGAGGTGAACAGGAAAACGCTGAAGGTAGATAAGGTGGCTTTTTGGGTTGCTTTCCCAGTGTTTACAGGAATCTGCAACACCTCGTTTGACTCCCACACCACCTCTAATGGAGGTACCTGGTACTGTGAGCAGAGCAACATATCCTCAGTCTTAATATGTGGGACAGTTTAGGTCTGGGGGAAATTAAAAAAAAGAAGATTGGTGTAGAAACATGTGAATTAAGAGACTTGTTTAATAACTGTCTTCTAAGCCCAGCCATGCAGCAGTGTGATGATATGCTGCACGTTTTTACCCACCACAGGGAACTGCTGCCTTCCAGCTTGTTTATAAAATCACAGCAGAAACTACTGAGGGAAGTCAAAGACTTCTCCTTTACACATGCATTCCTGATGAAGCAAATTCCACATATAAACAAAAAAACCCACATCTTGCCTTATCCTACACGAACAAAGACGTTTACCCAGCCTGCTCTGCCTGTGCTGCTGCCCCTCTGCAGATGCCTTGATGAGTGGCACTGTGGGTCTGTGGGGGACTGGACAGCTCAGGGATGCTTTGCTAAGTGGTTTTTTTTTTTCCACGTAGTTTGTGCACAAATGCAGCAGGAAAGCCAACTTGCACTTGTGTCAAAGGCAAATTTCTACACCTCAGGGGAAAAAAATGACAGGAGCTTCCCTAGCTTCTCAGAAAGAAAAGCACAGCTGGATGTCTGTCCCCCATCTGCCCCCTGGACTTTCTGTGTTAATAACTGGCAATATCCTGAACTATCTGGAGCTGTGAGGGGACACACAAAGCCCTGGGAGCCAGGCAGGCATGGAACCTGGTCCCACAGCCCCAGCCCTCACTGCCACAGCCCGTGCTGCTGACACCTGCACAGCCACCTCCCTGTCCACAGGGATCCTACTGCCTCGATTTAGCCTCTATATTTTGTTTGTGCCCACTGCTCTGCAAACTCTGTGGTGCTTTTATCCTCCCATTACTCCCATTTTGATACTACATAAGACTGATGCCTGAACGCAGTTCTAGCAGGAGACTTCAATTTGTGAACATGGTGAAAATGTCTTTTTCTAGCTGAGAAAAATCAAACTGGCCACAACAGAAATGGCAAAAAAAACCCTGAAATCTTACACTCTACCTATAAATATCAGTAGAAACCTTTCTTTTAAAAAGTGATTCAAAATTAACATAAATGTACAGACAATTACCAACTTTATTGACCAATTATTGACCAATTTCCCTGTTAACCAAGTCATTCATTATTTTTCTGAAGGAGAACAGCATGGTACGTGGCTTGACTTGAGTGGGAATGAACCATTTTACAACTGGAAGAATACCAGTGTCTGGTTTAGAATGCATTGTTGTGCGCCCAAATATTTTGAGTTTGTCCCCTTTGAGGGCAGAGGATTTTAAAAGCTGCTCCTCCCCATTCACACCCCCCCTTGCAGCTCCTCATGCCAGAGAATCTGTGTTCCTCCTGTGAATGCTCTGACAACACTGATGCTCCCTGCACAGAGCAGGAGCAGGAATTGAAGCTGTAAATCAGCGAGAGGATTTTCCCCTGCCCTACAACTATTGGCTGTGATTTAGTAATTCCTGAAAGTAGCTGAAAAAACAAATGTTCTGGAATTCACAGCCACCAGGAGCTGCTGGATTTAGGCTGTTAATGATGCACCATCACTGGCAGGACCAAGAAGTTCATTCACCCCACAGCAGATTAATCTTGAGCAGGCAGGCACCACCCCAGCCCTTCTCAGGAGCATCCCTGACTCCCTGCTGGCCCTTGTGTCTATCCCAGCAGGGTTTGGAAGCTTCAAGTGGTGCAATGTTAAGGAAAAACCTTTCACCATGGGGCTGGGACAGCTCTGGAGAAATCACTGCTGCAGTGGTGGGTCTGCAGGCAAATCCTCAGGTGGTCCAAACTCTCTCCACCACAGCCCAAGTGGTGGCAGATGCTGCTAGCCACTTGTAGCCCCCTATGGCAGCTCTACCTGAGCTGGGGTATCCTGAGAGAGGCTGGGCCAGCTGCAGAAAACTGGGGAGAGATCTTGCCTCCTGCAGCAGGATTTCCCCAGGAGCACCCCAGGCACAATGAGTGTCCCTCCCTCTCACCCAGTTGAAGCTCTGGTCCCCACCAGCCCTTGCACCCCCCATGTCCCCCCCAGCCCTCCCCAGGTTCTGAGATAGGGTGCACCCAGGGGCCAGCACTGCCCCTGTGCAGCCCCAGGTCCTCCCTGTCCCCAGAGCCCAGGGAAGGGCCCATCTCCACCTCCTGGGAGCAGGCAGTGCTCCCTGCCCCCTCCTCTCAGGCTGGGGCATGGGGTACCCACCAGCAGTGTTGGGGGGCAGCCCCTGCCCCTTCCCCATTCACGACACCAAGCCCTTGTTGGTTGCTGCCTCCGCAGTGGTTTATTGGGGTGGGAGCCAGGAGCCCCCTGCAGTGTGGGAAGCACCGTGGGGGTGCCATGGAGGGACCCCAAGAGCCAGAGCCCTGCAGCAGAGACCAATTTCCAGCCTCACTAAAGCAGCAATGCAATACTGGAGAGCAACAGGCAATCCCAAACTCCAGTATTTACGTGCTGCTAGAGCACTGCTGACAGCTCTCCACGGCCTCCAGACCCCCCTGTCTGCCCCAAACACAGGGCAAGGGTTCCTTGGCTGATCCTTTGCCAGGGAAAGGCCCAAAGAGCAATAGCTGAGGGGTAGATATAGTATAGGATGTGGTCATGCCCACGTTGGAGAACAAAAAGGAGCTATAAGCCCTTCATGCCTGCAGGGCCAGTCACACGAGCTCCCAGGGGATGTAAGGGATGTGCACAGTCCAAGCACCAAGAGAACGTGTCTACACATACCTGAACTAATGAGATACATGGGAATGTGTTAGCTTCCACATCTATGATAACCAGAAGCTCACTTTCTTGTCTTATCCTTGAGGTAATGAGGCAGCCCAGAATGGTCTGTATCTCCTTGTCCCTACAAACCATGATGTGCTGCTACATCTCCTCAAAGCCCACTGAATGTTGACATTCCAAATGGTATTTTGAATATATATGTATATATATAATTTTTTAAAAACCATGATATAAAGAACTGAAGAACACTCTACAATGAAGACATTTAACATGCATGCATTACCACCACAGGACAGGTCTTTTTTTTTCCACAGGTGATACCAGACAGTCTGTAACTATAAGAGAACAAGCAGTTATACAGTGCAAACAAACCAATTTCAGAAACAAGGTCAGAAATTAACTGTTCCCCCCAAACCACACTTAGTATCGGGTCCCAGCAAATAATACACTTTCAGATCCAGAAGATCTGTTGCTTTTGCTACTGTGAAGAGCCTGCAGAACTTCCCAGCCCTTCCAACTGGTCTGTGGGGAAATATTACCTTGTACTTTCCTCTTAGGTGATGCTGAACATCAAGGATTTCCCAGAAGTCACAATGTTAACATTTCAGATAAATAAATTCATATTCCAATAGTTGAAATCTGTTAAATTTTCCTTAAAATACTTTAATTCACCTAAATTTCACTTTAGAGATATGTAAAAAAATCCTTATTTTTAAAAAGAGCAAATTATGCTTATTTATTATGTGAATGGACAAGCCTTATATGACCAGAAATTAATAATCTCTGGAACTTTATCACATTCCCTGCCTGTACCCGAGCAGAAAGCAGCAGAGCAGGGCAGGGAGGGGCTGCAGCCCTGCAGAAGGCAGCTGCCAGTGGCACTTACACACCAGCCTGCACAAGAGCCATGCAGACAGACTGATATTTTTTGTATTTCCTTTAAACCTTCCCCCCCCCCGCCCCACCAGTTATGGGACAACTTCCTTCAATTCATTTTCTTAAAAAGCAGCATCACAAAAAAAACCTCAACAATGTCAGAAATGACGCCTCGGGTTTGAATTCTTGTGCCATCCCCTCGTGCCCAATGGCCAGCGAGTCCCTGCCTCTTTAGCAAACTTAAAAATAGGAATTTCAAAAGCTCTTGTGACCCATGCCAAGCGATTTTAAATTTGAAATCAAATATTTGCCAACAAAAAAGTAGTATATTTTCACCACTTCAGTGTCCTCAACACTGACAGCACCAGGACCAACTCCCTAATGAGCAGCTGCTACTTGCTGCAAAGCAAACACATACCCAGTGTTAAGCCTGCACGAGCTAAATCAAAACAACCCCCCGCATAATATTACCATTAATTACTTCTGCAACAATGTTTTACTTGACTCTACCTGTGCAATCTTATTTATTTCATCTCTTCAAATGAATCCAAAAGAAAAAAGCAATAGCAAACACGTTCAGCTTTAGAATCCATTTTGATAGTGCTTGAGGTTCACGTTTTAATTAATGTTTTTATATTTATATAAACCAAACTTTTGCCTAGTTGAACAACAAGGGCAAGAGCTCTCTTTAGTAAGGAGGAATTTTCAAAGGAAGGGTTCAATACACCTCCACCAACCTATAGCATAGAGGGAAAATCAACAGTCACACCAAGTATTGGGCAACTGGAAATTTGGGCTAGGCAGTGAAATACGTATCGGAGAAAACATGCACATTTATGACATGAAAGCATCAATATTTCATGCAATAAAAAGTTCCATGTCTGAATTACCCCATCTCTCACTTTAGCTTCTTTCAAAAACTTAATTTGTGCTCTGGAAACTCAACTTTACATCAGAAATGGGCACCAGAACAGGGAAATCTGAGTTCACCTGAACGCCTCCTAGGTAGTACCTGCAGTACCCAAGAAGGGATATGTGTGTCAGAGGGACCTGCATTTTCCCAGAGGGATGCAGATGCTGCAGGTATTTTGGAGCAGGTGGGACATGAGCTTACCTTCCCAACTCACCTCTGAACACAGGCACATCAGCTCCTGCACACTCTCTGGACAACCAGATCGCTGCTTCAGTGGGAGCTACAAAGCAACAACAGAAAGGGTTTGAGAGGCAATGGCAGAGAGGGGCAACTCCAGGAGGGGGGACACCAGGGCTTTTGGGCAGGCCCTCTTCCAAAACACACAGACAGGTGCAAGTATTTTTAAAATTAGAGAAGGAAAAAAACCAAGTAAATCAAGTTTTCAGCTCCAGATAGGGCAGACTATGCAGCAGAGTAACTACATCCCTCCCCTCTCCATCCTCCCCATGCCAGCAGCTGGAGCTACTGGCACCACTGGCACAGGCTGACTCCAGGCAGTGGCACCCAAGGCACACCAAATCATAACCCAGGTGCTGTAGAGCAAGGAGAGATAGCCAGAAAAACCAGGGGCAGCTCTGGGCAGGTGGGAAAGCCACTGAGCACAACCATGGCCAGCACCTTCCTCCCTTAAGCAGAAGCAAGAACAACTCTACTGATCCTGGCAGACCAGAAGCAAAGGAAACATTAATTATGCTGGTTTAGGTGACAAGCCATGCCTAGGGCAGGAGGTAAAACAGAGAGGCTGTTTGGGGGTTGACACCACAAGTGCTCCCTCTCACTGTCACATAGAGGCAGCATCCCAGGAGCACCTTCAACTTCCAAGCAGCACCTCACTACAGCCAGGAACTGGGGTGTCCTGCTTACTGGGAACCCCAAATATGAGAAGAACTGCCCCAAAAGCTCCGACTCAATGCAAAAGCACTGCAACAGCCCTTCTGCTGCCTAGAGCTCCAGCCTGCAGTGTGAGCACCAGCTCCTTCTAGAAATAGAAACTTCTACCCATCATCTATGTAAGCCAGCCACCTACAGAGGTTTAATTAAATCCCCCAAATAACTGGGGAATTTGAACATGCAGAAAATCATTAATGCAATTCACAAAACAATGCAGCTTCAGCTTGCCAAAGTATATTGGGCAATTAAGTAAAAAACACACCCCCTGCTCCAATCCCAAGCACACAAAAACCAAAACAAATTCCCTCTGAAATACTGGATTCCCTTAAAATACAGCCTCATCCCTCCTCACAGACACTAACCAGAAAAAAAAGAGAAGGGAAAAAATGTGAGAAGGAGCGCTATGGGAAAGGAAAGGAAATAAATACAGGAGCCCATGACAGGACAGATTTGCATACAGAGCCTTTACTGACCCACATACTTCAGGGCTAGGTGAGCTCAAAGACAAGTAAATATTAAGCATTTCCTATATATAGAAAAAAAAAAAAGGAACAAAACCTCCTGCTCTGCTAACCAACAGTTTTCTAGGAGACATGCACAAACAAATCCTGAAGTAATTGTTCTCATTTGAAACAATTGGGGGAAAAAAAGGAGCACTTATTACTTTACAAAAAGACTTAAGTAAATCATCTCATTACAGCTGAAGGTCCCAGCCACTCATCAATGAGGCAAAATTATGGTGACAAAACGAAAATAAGGGTGTGAGTAACACCACCAGAACACTTCCTATCTGCCTGGCTCTGAAAAATCCCACCGCTTTCGTTGGTGACTCCTTTTGAACAAGGAGGTTTAAACAAAAGTCACGTCCGAATATTTACAGATGTGGCCGATAGCTGGGATCGGAGCCGCTGCTTGATCGACAGCCACCACATGGCCCCAGCTCAGGCGCTCCCGGCAGGAACTGCCTCGCACAGCTCCGAGGGCTGCGGGAGAAGCGGCTCTGAAGGAGCCCGAGCAGTGGAACCGCACACGGCGAAATTATTTCATTTGCGCGGCACCCACAGCGCATCTCCCATCACCCAAAATCGCCGCCGTGCCCAGCCACGACTCGCTCGGGGGGGGGCACAAAACCAACGCAGAAAATTATTTCCTGCCTGTTCTTGTCGAAGCCATGTGAGAGCGGGTTGTTCCTCACGCGCTTCATCAAAAATAATTTTTTTCCCCTCACTAATTTACCCATAAAAGGGCCAGGGAGGCAGCACGTATAAACCCCAGCACGGCACACCTTCCCCACGCTAAACCACACGGCATCGACACGCTCTTAGGTGGGGCCAAACACCCGAAACCAAACTGCAGCTACAAAAGGCAGATTGAAATAACGCAAAAAATGAATTTGTTAACTTCACTCGGCGTGAAACTCGAGCCCAACATTGTTACCAGCAGGATCAGCTGTGTTTACCCAGGCGAGGGTGTAAGTGGGACAGGGAGCTACTGGTGCTTAGAAAGGCCTGCGGGACAAGACTTCAACTTACAGCACTCCAGAAAACCAGTAAAATCCACAGTAAAATTCCAGGATCCATAGTTTTTTCTCAACACTGCTGAGGAAAAGAAAAGTATGATGCTTTTTGTTACTTCCAAGTTTTAGCATTGTCATCTCATCCAGTTCTTAACAACAAGGGTCAGATCTGGAAGCCCAATTTCTATTAAGTTTATTTGTTAAGAACAGGAAAAAAAAACAAACAAAAAAAACTATTTCTTTTTTGGTCAGATGAAGAATAATTCAAAACAGAACAAGCACACTGATTTTTTTTTTTTTCTTTTTAGATTTGGGTTAAGTTTGCATGAAGCATTACTTAAAGCTTCCCTCTAATATTTCATAAGCATTTACTGTATTAGCAGCTGAGTCTAAGTGTATTTCCCACCAAAGTCGATTAACTAAATACAGACTTTCGCAGTTGCCGGTGAGTTCTTTGGATTTCTTCAGAACAGAAGATGATGAAACTTGGCAGATAGCCCCTCACCTACACTTAACACGCATAAGACACACAAGCAGAATTTCTGTTTTTTGGGGGGGAGCAATTAATGATCTAACCTTGGAAAACTCACTCTCCAAACACAAAAAAATTGTCTTTATAGACCCGATGTGTATACGCGGAAAATACTGTATGTAGAATCAATTAGAGAGGGAAAAGTCTCAGTGCTGTGCATGTTGCTCCATCACTGCAGCTCCCAGAGAGCTGCGAGGCTGCCCTGGGAAGCTGGCCCTTGCCAGGATATTCAAATTTCCTGTACAAAGCGAGCAACCAGCGAGGGGAAAAGAAAAAATAAAAAGCAAAAGCTGGCTGCCAATTAGATTTTCTTTAATGTCTTAAATTATTTCGGCGAATTATTCTTTGGTTACACCAGCATTTTCTTTTGCGTGTATGAAACTATTTTCTACGTGCGGAGGCGCGCACATTCCGCGGCCGGAACGGGTCCCCGCGCCCGCTTTAAAAAAAGAGAAACGGGAAAAAAAAAAAAAAAAAAAAAAAAAAAAAAAAAAAAAAAAAAAAAAAAAAAAAAAAAAAAAAAGAAAAAAAAGAAAAAAATCAACCCCGAGCCCCACCTGCGGGGGGCGGGCGCGGCTCAAAAAAAAAGATTTAAAAATTATTAATAGTCGAGGGTGGGGAGGAAAAGACGCAGCAAAACCCGGGAGGAAAAGGCAGCGGGGGTGGCCGGGGCGCCCCGCGCCCACGTGGGAACCGGCGCCGCTCCCGCGGCCGGGCCCGCCGCGGGTGCCCCGCGCTGTCACCGCCCGGCCCGAGCCCGGGGCCGCCTTTGTGCCGCGCGGCGCGGCGCCCCGGGCCGGCTGCCGGTGCCGCCGCGCTCCCCAAAAAGCTTTGCAACAGTTCTGGGGGAGCTTTTGGGGCTTGTTTTAGTTCTTTGCGCCCCGACCCCCGGCAGAGGTTCAGCCGGGCCCGTGTCCGGCCGTGCCCCGCGGGGAGCGGCGCGACCCCGCCCCGGGGCAGCGGCGGAGGGGGTCCCGCCGAGCCCCCCGGCCCGTCCGCGTGTCCCCCCGCGGGGCCGGGCCGCGCCGGGCCGTGCCGCCCGCGGCCGGGACCGGGCACGGGGCCGCCGGCCGCCCCCGCCGCGCCCCGGCCCCGCCGCCCTGCCCGCCCTCCCTCCTCACCTCCGAGTCCACTCGAAAATGGCGCCGAAACCGAAAAAACTTCGCAAATTTCATTGTAGGCGGCTGCAAAGGCTGCTGGGAGCGGGGGCGGCCGCAGCGCCGCCCGCCGGGGCGGGCCGGGCCGGGCCGGGCCGGGCGGGGCGGGGCGGGAGCGCCGAGCTGCGGACCGAGGGGCGGGCACGGCGCGGAACGGCTCGGCACGGCACTGCCCGGGTCGGCACGGTACGGCACGGCACTGCCCGGGTCGGCACGGCACGGCCTGTCCCGGTACAGCCCGGCACGGCACGGCCGGGTACAGCACGGCACGGCATGGCCGGGTACAGCACAGCACAGCACGGCACGGCACGGCCGGGTACAGCACGGCACGGCACTGCCCTGCCCTGCCCTGCCCTGCCCTGCCCTGCCCTGCCCTGCCCGGCCCGGCCCGGCCCGGCCCGGCACGGCACGGCACGGCCCGGTCCGGCCCGGCCATGTGTGCGGAGCGCGGGGCCCGCCGGGCAGCGGCTGCGAGGAGCGCCGGGGCGAGGATTCACCTGCCCCCGGTCCGGGGCTGTGAACCGGGACCGCCGCGCCCCCGCTGAAAGCCGCTGAAAGTCGCGTGTACAGAGAAAAAACCAAAAAACTCAATTAGGGAAAAAGTAAACAGATGTATGCAAAACACGAGAGCTGCACGGGAGCGGTGGGGACGCCCAGCTTCGCCCTTCGTGCGAACCAGTTCGTTCCGCTGCCTCTTCCGTCGGGGGTTTATGGCCTCTTATAACCCAGACGGGAAAGGAATGATGCTTTTCCACCTCTGCTTGGGTAAAAGTTGATGTTTGATTACCCAGTGTGTGGCTCTGTCCGTGCACTCACATGACATCAAAGCGAGACTTAAAATCGTTCTCTTTTCCCCATTACCGTGTTGCTAAGCTCTGCACAAACACTGATTCTCAGTCTACGTTTCTCTGACCTGCAGACTTTCCCACGTCCAGCCAGCAAAACCTTATCACCTGCCCGGAGTCACACAGCAGCAAAGGGAGCAGGATTTTGGTGCTCACAGTGAATATCCTGGGCGTGCGATGGCACCACGGCACGCTCGCAGGGAGGATGGGATGTTTGCAGACATGATTTTCCAGAGACTTTTAAATGTGAGGAGTCAAAACTTGGGAGAATGGTGGTTTGTGCTGGTGGGGAGCCTGGCAAGCTGAGGCCTGGGAAAAATGATGCTGAGGCAAAATATTCCCTTCCAAAAGGAGAACCCGGATCTGGTGGTCAGAAACTTGCAGATTTGTCACATTCATCATTGGAAGTGGTTAAAGCTGCCAAGTCTCTTGTTGGCCTGGTGGGTTTGAATTCTTCCTGCAGTTTTTATTTCTACCCCCTCCCCAAACAGCAAAAAACCCCTCAAACCCTGTTGCTAAATAATTGCTCTGTTCTCACAGGTGAGCAGCGAAGCTCAATTAATTCTGCTTTGTGAAGTGCTTCTGATCCTCTGATGGAAACATGTAGGGGCAAAACACTTTTATTTTGCAACTTGCAAAGGCTGATAAGAGCGATGAAAACGGAAAAGCCTCACCACTGAGGGGGATTACAGCCCCACACTTTTTCCACTCGAGATCTTAGAGATGAGCTGATGGCTGCTGCTTTTAATTTAGAAGGGTTTTTCCCCCTCTTTTGAAAGAAACGCAATCACTACCAAGTATTCTAGAGGGACTTCATCTTTAAACAAATAATGTTTTTCTTGTTGGGTGTGCACTATTATTTTCTTAATTATTCCTGGATTTATGCCTGTTCCACCAAGAGTTTTCTCAGATGGCAGAAACAATTGGTCCTTTTTTATTACAGTAATAGCAAAAAGTATCCCTAATAAAAAGACTCTGTACATCCCATAAACTCAAATGGGACACATTTTGCCAACAATCACACCTCTTCATTGAGGCATCTTATATGCTGTTTTTTTTTTTAAACTTTTTTTCCACATTACTATTGTTTACTACTCGGCCTTACTGGCTGGCTAAGTCTTGGTGCCAAAATGAAACGAATCGAGTAATTTATTTAGAACCAGAGCCCTCCCACTCACCCTTAGCATGAATGTTGAGATCTCAGCAGATGTGGTAGGGAATGAATGGGCAAAGAGATTCACCTACACAGAATCACATCTACTTGTGGGTGGCCTCTAATTAATTTGGCTTCGAGGCTCCACTGCAAGGTAGATGGGTTAGGAAGTCTGGCCAGGAGTCATCTGGTTGAATCATACCTATTCTATGGAGAACTTCATTGTGTAGCTGTGTCTGACTCCCACCCCTGTGAAAACTAATTAAAAAAAAAAAAAAAAAGTGCCCCACACTTATTGGAAGTCAAATATAAATGTCAGCGTTTCGGATGAAATGGTATCTTGGGAGGCTCCTGCACATTTAATCAGCTGGTTGCACCATGTATATCATGGCCTCAAAAGCTGCAGTGAGAACCACGAAAGGCACTGGCTTAACATCAGCAAAAGTGTTTGCCAAGCTTGGATTATGTCACCGCTTTATGATCTTGCTTTGTAAAGGGAGAATACTCTTGGGGAGAAAGGACTCGGCATGCCGGATCTACAGTGAGAGCAAGGAATGAATGCTGCTCACAGAGCCTGGGGGAGGGCGAGGGGCTCTGTTTGCTGTGGTGTTTTTGCAGATGGATGCTGGACGGTTTCTGCCACCAAGCAGAGATGCACCCCACGGATCACTGGGGCTGAAAGCAAAAAGCCCAAAATACCCCAGAAAAGCTGTTTGCTGCTTGCCCTCCCACGGGCACACCTGTGGGGGCCCTGCCCGGGTCCTGTTTGTCACTGTCCTGGCTCTCGGGGCATCTCTGTCCCACTCCAGGGAATGTGGAGATGTTCTGAGTCCCTCTGGTTTCCCCTTGCCTCAGGGTACAGACACCCAGCCACGCTGGGTCTTGTCAGATACTCAGAATGTGATGCCCTTGCAGAGGTGGCAGCTATGGAACTGGTTAAAACAAATAAACATCCCACACCACACATCTGAAATGTGGCCTGCCGAGATGCTTCTGTTCCCTGTCACAGGGGTGAGCTGTGGCCACTCCTTCTGTGCTGCAGGCTGGTGGTAAAGGCAAGAAACTCTTTGAGGAGACCAATTCTGTTTGCCCAGCACCAGCTCAAATGCTGGGCTTGCATCTGCTTCTGCGACTGCAAGAAGAATAAAGAAAAAACTTCGAGGTTATGTGCCCTTTGAGGAGGCCTGTTGGTGGGACCAGTAACATTGGAGGGGACAAAGAGCTGGGGAGAAATAGCTCTTGTAAAGCAGCCCCTGGGGTCTGAGAGCTGTGCTGCCCATGCTGCCCTTGCTTTCCTGTTGCAGCAAGAGCCTTGTGCAGCCCCCAGTCCCCCCCTGCCTCACTGCCGGAGCATCCTGCCCAGCCTGGAAACTTTCCACTGCTACTGGGCTAATAAATTGTGCTGCTTCTGGAGCAGTGTCTAGCCAGCCCCTGACTGCATCCTAACGCTGGGTTTAGCATGGGAAAGGAGGTCCCTGTGTCTTCAGGGGCTGTGTAGGGCAGAGGGAGTGCAGGGGGGCAGCCTGGGGTTCCTGGGACAGTGGAAAGGACCAGGTGTGGGTACAGCCACAGCACCTTGTGTTTCCTAATGAATAGAACGTGGGTTCCTGGTGTGCAGAATGGGGACCAGGGTCTTTTATTTATTGCATTACCCCTCCAGCACAGTAAACTTCCCATCCTGAGCTCTGACTTCTGCCCTAACCCCTTCCTCCCGCCTTTCAGTCCCTTGTGACCGGACTGAACAGTGGTTTGGTTTCAGTGCTTGGTTTCTTTCCATGTCTCCTTCATCTGCCCTTGTGCCCCAGCCCTGGCGTTCCGCAATCCCCCAGCTCTGTGTGTGGTGTGACATTCCCAGCCCCGGCTCCCCGGACACCCTCGGCGCTCGCCTCAGCCGCTCTGCAGTGTGGAAAAAGGGTGTGGTGGCCACGCCGAGGGGTTTTGGCTGCATCTCCTGCCTTCCCTTGGCTCAGAGGGTGCCCAGAGCACAGCAGTGTCTGCACAGGGATTTCAGTGCCCGCTGTCACTGCAGTTTGTCCCAGGGATCTGCTGTGTGCCAGGAGCTCGCCGGGCCCCGCTCACGGAACCTCCTCGGCTGGCGTCAGGGGCGGCCGGGCCCGCTCTGCTCTGCTCTCGAGGTGTCAACCAGCAGCAGGACATTCCCTCCCATCAGCCTCCTTCCTTTCACTAGAGGGAGGGTATTTTTGTAGAAAATATCTGTTTTTTAGTGAAACACTAATTTTAAAGGGTCTTCTTGCTGTTGGGAGATGGAAACCTTCAGCAGAGGCACCAGCTCCCCAGTCCTCCCTTCCTTGCCTTTGCAGTTATTTGCTGTATTTATTTACTGCAAAATGTGCTGTATTGCCTGACATTTTTTGGTTATCAAAATATTTTGATTATGTGCAGGGGAGGGGGTGGGTTGATAGTACGGCTGACATCTCGATACAAAACTGCCTGTAAAACTTTCTAGCTAAATTCAGGGCGAGGAAGAGTGAGATATTCCAGCCTGTCCCAGGCAAGCCCTTGGCACTGCTGCTGTGACCTGGCTGTTCAGAGCCTGGGCTCAGCTCAGACCCATTTCCCTGTGTATTTCTGTCCCTTTTGTGAGCTCTTCTCATGGATGTATCAACTACAGCAAGCATGGAAAGGAGGGCAGGGGAGAAGATGCTGCTGCAGGATCACATCCCAGAATCACTGCACAGGTTTTTCCATGGAGTTTGAGAGGGGTCAGAGGCAGGATACAAAAATCAGAGCTCAAAGGGGTGGGAGGGAAGTTGCACATGAAGGTCACTCCAGAAAGGGCTGAAGCACTTCCCACTTTTTCCTCTCTGGCAGAAGTGCTGTCTTTGTGAGATGACTACCAGCCCATTGGCTGTGGAGATGTCTGCTGACCCTGTCCTTGAGCAAATGCCATCAGCAGAAGATGTCCCAATTCATGAGTGAAGAGCTGCTCACATCTTGAAAGCAATTTTTGCATTTTGATTTGAA